ACAAATGTTTATAGCATCAAAATGATAAAAATAATTCAATACACATCCCATATATACAAATATGAATAAGTATGCTTTCATTTAATTTGATTAACGACATGCTTAGTTCTGTTCTATTTCTGTGTTAGATCAAGTGCGAATAGCTTACACCTGATCAAAAGGCTAGTGTCTGTCATCCAGTTGGACAGTCAATTATCACCTTTTATTAATGATAAATTTGATACATATGAATGTTTATTGTAGAAATCAGGTGATAATAGGTGCATAATGGGATCAGAAAGTAATATACATAATCACGTAAATGTTCTGTAACCGGCAATTTTTAATTCATTTTCTTATGCATGATAATGCATATAAATGTTAATATTTCAGAACGATTTTTTTTAAACTAGAACTGCGCGAGTCGGATGTGTCGCCTTGTGAACAATATAGTGTAGGAGAAATGGCCAGGACAAAAATGAAATACAAAAACTAACAAAGGGCAATAGCTCAAAAAATAATTAGTGCAGAGCAGCAGTATCTATGCATTGCACTTCTTATCAATAAGATCTATCATTCTATGAAGTTTCAAGTCCATGTCTTTTATAATTTATGAGAAATGGCCTGGACAAAAATAAAATATGAAAATATATAAAGGGTAATAACTCAAAAATAAGAAATGCAGAGTACCGGTTCTTGTACACTGCACTTTTTCTTAATGAGATCTATCATCCTGAGAAGTTTCATGTCCTTAGCTTTCATACTTGAGGAGAAATGACCTGGTTAAAATAAAGTACGGAGATTAACAAAGGGCAATTACTCAAAGAATAAGAAATGCAAAAAGAAGTGCACTGCACTTCACTTCTTCTTAATGAGATCTATCATCCTATGAAGTTTCAAGTCCATAGATTATATACTTTCGGAAAAATGGCCCAGACAAAAATAAAGTATGAAAATTAACAAAGGGCAATAACTCAAAAAATAAGAAATGCAGAGTACCTGTTCCTTTGCACGGCACTTCTTCTTAATGAGATCTATCATCCTATGAACTTTCAAGTCCATAGCTGTTATACATTAGGAGAAATGGCCCGGACAAAAATAAAGTATGAAAATTAACAAAGGTAAATAACTCAAAAATTAGGGTTGGCAGAGTACTGATTCTTGTGCACTGCACTTCTTCTTAATGAGATCTATCATCATATGAAGTTTCATGTCCATAGCTTCTATAGTTGAAGAGAAATGGTCCGGACAAAATTAAAGTATGAAAATTTACAAAGGGCAATAACTCAAAAAAAATAAAAAATGCAGAGTACTTGTCCTTGTGCACTGCACTTCGTGTTTTTGAAAGACGCATGCATACCAAGTTTGAAGTCAATCCACCTTAAAGTGACTGAGTTATGCTCTGGACAAGCTTTTCGGGACGCCGACAACACCGACACCGCCGACGCCGACACCGACGCCGCCGAGAAAGTAATCCCTATATGTCGCCTTTTCAAGGCGACACAAAAAGGAAAAAGATGAGAAAAAAAAATTGTTTCAAAAATAAAATAAAGTTTAAAAGGAGAAACAAATCTGAATGAATATCTATTCAATTGCTCATTTATTTACACTGGCATTAAACACATTTACTTGTTTCAATTTCCTTCAATAATGATATAAAACAAATAGGATGAAATGTTCATTCATTGTTTTATTTGAGTTTCTCTACGTACATTGAATGTATTCGATGTGTCAAACAAAGGAGGTAAATCAAATAATATAATACAATCATCGAAACAAAATATCTTCCCAAAAAATGTTTACTTATAAGTTGTATTCATTAATTCATATCCAAATATTTGAAAAACAGTATTAGATATTATGTTATTTTTACTAACTTAATTGATTTTGGTATTGCTTAATATATTTCGGTTAGTATCTAACAAGGGAAGTTATTCGAATAATGCTTAAATTATGCCAATAACATCATTAAAACAAAATTCTTTTCGTAGATTTTTTCACTGGAAGTCAATTTTAGTTATTTATGTAGAAAAATCGAGTTGATTTCGGTATCGTTACGTACCCAGTGCCTACATATTTGGTACAAAGTAATTGTAATAGACTGTGAACATTCAAAGTGACATAGACTTTTTTGCGATGATACTTTTTAACATATTCAATTGCGGGAAGATCAAACAACGTAAATTATTACCTAATACCTCAAATAAATGTAATTTGGTATTTTTTATTATTACCTGATACCTGATATAAATGTCATTTGGATTTTTTACTGTTTTTTGACATTCCTAAAACGACTAACTGTTAACCGGTCAATAGTTTTGGCTATTTCCCTCGCGTGTCCTGAAGTCATAGAGGATCCCCCCTTGGAGTGGCATAAACCAGACGAGACGTGATATAGTTAAAAGATTGTAAATTCAGAAAGTTTAATTATTAACATATTTGAAAAACTATTTATTGTTCCCTATTCTTCTGCGTGTACTTTTAAACAAGACCGTAATTGATCAGGTAATAAAACAGTTATTTCATATGTGTTTTCGGAACTGTCGACCAGTTGTCCCTCTGTGTCGGGGACCGGTCAACAGTTAGTCGTTTTAGGAATATAAAAAAATAAAGAAAACAAAAAACAACAAAAACACAACAAAAACAACAACAACAATAAAATAATGTAATAATGTACTGAACATTCATTTCATTTTCCCCTCATTTTTATACCTTTTAGATAACGGATGTGATGAAACATTTAAACAAAATTTAGTAAGATATAGTAATCAAATGAAAAACAAAATTGAACAGGAGTTATATAAATCACTTTTTGTCGATATACTCGATCCTTGGATCTGGGATATTAACGTAAATACCAAACGACCTTATAAATTCCGAATAACCTTTGATGATTTTTAATTATTTTGAAAATCTATCTGTGAGATGTGTTTGTAAATGAAACAGTCCTTTTTACATATTGGACCATAGACTGACGTAGTCATGTGCAAATTAATATGTGCTTTAATATTTTTCACAAGTATGAAAATGAAATTCAAATCAATTATCGTAACTTTCATACTGAATTTAAGAAGAAATCTGACCACGTTCCCCAATGACCTAATAAGGTTTGTGACATAACGTAAACGGCTTCACCAAAATTATAATTGTTGTCCATTCTTTTGTCAAATTAGAAAATATATATCAATTTTTAGTAGATGTTTTAGTTGTTGTAGAATGATGCACGATTCGAGTTGAAATGCGCAGAAATATAATCACAAAGGCCGACATGCCTGAAGCATCTGAATGATAAACCGTGCATTATTATAGCATAATGCAAGAAGATTAATATCTACAGTGTATTTCCATTTTAACATGCTTAAACAGATAATTGATAAAAATATGTTAAACTGTATTGAGCGATGAAGTAATAAACCTGACGTCAGTTGCTTTTTTGGTATCATATCTGACGTCATTTGTCGTGTAAGCATTCCTTTTTTATGTAAATCATATATCTGTTTGATAGGAAAATATAGTGAAGCGTGAATAAAATATTTGAACAAGAGCATGGTGAAGCACTTTACAAAATTCTGTATTAAGGCGAATATCTTAAGGATAATTTATAAACCAATAATGTTTACACATGCAATATAAAAATAGTCTTACTTATATTTTGAAATAAAAAATCAACACTTTATCATGTGACATGTGTATAGAAAAATAACATTTCAAACAATTTTTTTTTTAAATAATGTTATATCATATTTTGTATATGTCTAATAGTATATTGAACCACGTAACATACATTTGGTATTTAATATCAAGCATTTGACTTAAAAGAACAAAACAGTTATTCTCTACAAATCATTCTAAATACATTCTTTTTCTTAGATACTATCTTTTTTTTTGGAAATTTGATAATGCAGCATTACTAACTGAAAATGATGACATCTTTTGTAACCTGCTACATTTTCTTTTTTAATGTAAAAATATACAATATTGTTGCTTACCAATACTTATCAATCGTATGCGTGTACTCTATTCTAAATAACACTGATGGTAAAAGAATCATGTTAAAATCAGAACAAAAATAATAATTTTAAATAAAAAAAATCAAACATTATTTGGAGAAGACCTTCGGATGCACGTTGAACACTTTTGATTGATTAAACACCATCAATTCATTAATATATGTAAAACAACACTAAATTTGTGCATTACAGTACATAAGTCCAGGAAAGTTATATATGTTTCGCTTGTTTTGTGCTTGTTATCAATTCGCAACATTTGTAGCACATAATGACATATAGAAATATATGTTTGCTAATTATAAAGTATTTTATCAAAATTTGAAGAAAATATGTAAACTTGTGAATTAAATGAAATATCAAGTCTTCGTATTTACTTCTTTTCCATAAATGCTCGGAACGTTGAACAGTAATATCGCTTTGGAGAAGAAAAATGTTTAGATAAAGAAAACAGTCTTTAATCCTTTTTTAAACAACAATTGAATAAAGATGACCCGGTACCTTTCTAGCTATCCCTTTTTGCATTTGCATTCAGCTGTAAAGAAAATATAAAATCAGTAACGGTTAAAACATACGGCTTATTTCAAGTAAATAGTTTATCCACTATTGGCAGTCTTCTTGACGGCCATGTATGAATGATTGTCTGTGATAAAATCTGAGCCGCTATATAATGGTCATAGAACTTACAACCGTTTAACTTGATTTTACCTGGGAAAATTCTTCATAACTATAAATATAAACGCATTCTGTACTGACGATAAAAATATTTGAAAAGGTAAATTAAAGAAGTACACTTGTTTTAAACAAAACTTAAATTTTGTTATAAACATTGTGTGCTCTGATTATACATGCCACATCCATTCTCACATGAATGAGAACAATTATTCTTTTTATGTTAATTAAAAGAAATTTATCATGCTTTATCATACAAATTGAAGGTTTTATTTGAAAAACTTCAACATGATTATTGTACGAATTTTGTATTTCAGAAACAATAACAAAAATAATATTACCTTATTTACATAATATACCAACATCTTCATGGTTACCACAATTATCGTCATTCCGACCTATATGCGGACATTGAAACAAGCTTGTTTCAGATCCCGTACATTGTACCTCGTCTAATAGTGTTGGTAATGTTCCACGACCAAAGTAAGCATCTGTGAATACTTTAGGATCAGCACTTAAATGATAACATCAAAAAATCTTAACATGCTATCTGATCAATGAGCAGTGTAAGTTCAAGCAATTTTATGAGGATCAAACAGGAGATTATTTGCCGTTATCATTTAATTTAGATTGTTTAAGACAAACACGTTTTGAAAGTTGTATTAATTCTATTAAATACATGTATACTAGAAAAGTCCAGCAAGAGCCTATTTCAACCATCGTTCTTTGTCTTTGCATATCTGCATTACATGCTATATATGAAACAAATACGGTTTTATCTGTCGGAACTCCAAAGAGCACCGCTATACTTGATGTTGTAGTTAAGTATTAGCAAGTTTGGTTTTGAAAAAAAAATGAATTAGTTGTTGCTGTCATTTTGTCAGCTTTATAAACCTAGGATGTTTAACTGCAAGACAGTTATTGAAATTTTACAAAGAAACTAAATTCAAAATCAATAATGAAACATTTCATCGTTACGGAAATGTAAATATCATGTTTGATGATAAACTACATTTCTTAAATATTCTGTCCCATAAAGACAACCATTTGTCTGTCTGTACTCAGAAGAACTGAACCGCTTTACAATATAATTTATCAATTAATGACGAATCTATATCATTGTTACGCAAAACAAAAACATTTAAATTTAGTATTTAAAAAAAACCAATCAATTGGTCAATGAGTATTTTAAAATAGAAACACGATTCTTTTTCCAAGCATTGGCTTTCGTTAATTGTTCAAACACTTTGTAATGATTTTTAAGACATCATTTAAGTTTAACTAACAAATTTTAAACGTCATCTTAAACTTTATACGTAAAACTAAACTTTAGTGAATACTTGATGCAAAAGAAATGAATAGATAAAAAGATAAACAAAATCCACTCCAGCTGGCTTTATCAAGAAAGAACGATGGTTTGGAATAAACAACAAATAAGGCCATGGACAAGCCTTTTTTGAAATATGAACACATATTTAATAAACGCATGTATTAATTTAGCGCAAAGATGATACAAGTATAAAAGACTTGCGGTAAATGAAACTGTTATCTTACAGTTTGGATCAAATAGAAAGGTTTGGAATGGAAAAACTCATTTGAATGTGTCATCTATCACAAGGGCATTCTAAAATTATTAAGATACCATTCTAAACCATATAAACTCCTTTTCTTATCTGTAAATGAATATGCGACCGAAAGAAGAGTGTCAACAATTAGGCATCTTATACTTCATAGTGATCTTTATGCATGAATACACTGCTTTTTATGAAGAACAGCAATTCATTTGAAGACATTTATTTCTATCTTTTTTTAAAAAAAAAAAAACGTTCAATAAATGCGAGACTTATTTTCTCATTTGTTTATTTCATTAAATGATAAAACATGTTACAATTCAAATAATAAGTCTATACACGGATTTATATTACAAGGATCGGACACTATCGTTTAGCTTAAAATCTCGTCGCGCGCATGCGCGGAATCGCATATCAGATAAAAGTGGACAGAATGAGAGATGGTGGAACGCGCGGAGTGCGAAATATGACCGATTTTCACAAGAGTATGTTTTGTTATGGCAGCTTTGTGAAAATTTTTACACATATTAATGTATTTATACAGTATTATTTTGTGTCGCTAAAATATTAATATATGAAAATATTCCGATAGAACGCTGCAACGCTGAGTTAAAATAGTACCTAATTTAAAAAAAATATTCGTCTATTGTTTAGGCGTACTCTCTACACTTTGACGCCCTTTAACTTCAAGCACAAATTATTACCGCGATTCAGATTAAGATAGTTAATTTCTACATGGTTTAATGGTTGCAATGCAAAAAAAGTTTCTTGATTGCTTAAAAACTTTTAAAGAAATTCATGTTTGAAATTTGTCTTTTTTTCTGTGAATTATTTCCAAATGATTTGAGCATCTTTTATTTGATTCCCTGAATATTAGTATAAATGTAGTATTCTACTAATTAGTGTATTAAATATATTTTCAGATCATTGAAAAAAAAGCCTTCATACATAGATGAATTCATTATATTGGCAAGGAAGAAACTTTTATTGGCATACAGAACAGCTGTTTCATAACATTATTTTTTATGTTGACACAGAATTTTTCATAGTTATCCTTCACAATTCCCGTCAAATGATTTATTTGTTATATGTTTATTTACATTTTTTTTCAACGAAAGGATTTGTATATTTTCAATTTCATTTATAACATTTAATAAAGAAAATAGATTTACATTGTATTTATATCTATCATCTTCAGAATCATTTTCTTATTACACATACAATGGACTGTAGTTTAAGACCGCGCACATACAAAATATACATTCAAATTCTATTTGTTTTTGAAGATTGATTGTTGCAATTATCACATGCAACCTTGTAATGAAAGTTTGAAAATAAAGTATTTCAATTATCACTTATTACCTGGTAATTAACCCCCTTCAAAAGTAATTAAACTTCAAAGACATTTAAGCGATGTCACGGATTTATATTACAATATAAATCCGTGCCGATGTGTAAAAAATAATCAACAGCTACTTTTATTTCGCATAATACTGACTCAAACTGTAAAGATTTTTATTGTGTTTCTAGTGTTACATTAAAAAATATCAGAAATATCTTTCTACAGGCATTCAAATAAAATGAATAATCAAAATATGCGAGTGACATTAAAAAGGCCGGAATCGAGACAGCTACACGAGAGTAGGGCCTACTTTACTGTTACGATGGTTGTCTACTTAACTTCACCGACAGATAATAATGATATAAATTATAATTGTATGAATATGGCAATATTAAAATCTCGGCAATATTTTGTACTAAAAAAATGAATATTTTCTTCACGTGTTGTGCGAATTGTAAAGCCCGCAATACATTACCCGTAAAACAATTGTACGTTAATAAATTTGACTACATAACCCAATAAATCTTAAATATTGCATCTTTGATCAACTGTGAATAACTTACATCGGCTTCTTTTTTATTTTGAAATTGAATTTATTACGTGTCCATAATAATTAATTTCAAATACCTGCTTTTTATATAAAAAATGTAAATTTACCGCAGATTTCGTCAAGTTATTTTTTTAAATCACAGTTGCGGACAAATAAACTATACCTTTAAAATAAATTAGATTTTGATTTAAATAAGTATTTTTCTTCAAAATAAACTTTCAATTACAAAATCGGATAATAAATGGAAAAGCTATGTGGTATTTTGTAAAGTATGTATCCGTTGCGAACGGGCATTTACGCTTAGCGCCGGTAGATTATCGATCGATGTACCTTTATCGGGTGCACGACAAGATATTTAAGCATTTATATAGGGTTAACTGGGAGTGTCCGATCCCTGTAATATAAATCCGTGGTTTATAGTTTTCTAACTGCTTTTTTTTCTACCTGATATTTCAATTCAGTTTTGATTAATTAAGTTTTTCGGCCAGTTAACACAACATCATGAAAGTTTTAAATTTGTGCACAGCGGTATATATTTCGTTTCTTAACATAAGTTTGATTGACCACGCGTGTCAGCACAATGATAATCTTAGAGATAGGATCTAAATAAATTTATCAGACATCTGCATGGGATTTTAAATTGTAAGTAGTATAGGGGCCGGTTTGGGATCACGACTGCGCATGCGCGGCGCCATATTGGATTCTATATTTAGAATAACATCATCGTTCTATTTTTAGAATGTTATCATCTCTCTATTTTTAGAAATTTATTTTTAATCTCCCGGAAGTATATGGAGCTGATTCGTATACACGATCTAGGACTTGAATCGCGGACATTGTAGGTCAGGTCCTCGGTCCTAGACGGAGAGATAATTACCATCATTACAGATAAAAGAAGTGTCTGTAAATAGATACGCGCTTAACATTTTAATTGATAAAATAGTTAAATTAAAAAAATATAAATAGTTTTTAATATGTTCAAAATAAATTATATTTATACATTTAATATCTGAAAATATAACTTGTTTACTCTCCAACAGTCCTTGTAGACTGCGCATGTGCCGAACTATTTTTAGTCGCGGTATTTTACAATCACCAGGAGCTTTTTCATCAGCCCCACGTAGGTGTCAATGAAAGAAAAAGCATTGGGCATTAAGTACAGTCAACGCTCAGTCTAGACTCATAATACCTAGCGGAACTATGTTGAACAAAAACCCTTTGTCTTTCGCAACTTAATATAGTTTTTCATTATTGACCAACACAAAAAATGAAAAGAATTAATTATCCTTTCAAACGCAGCGACAGTCAAGTACCAGCGTCGCTCAGTGTAGATTCACAATACCTGGCGGAACTATTTTGAACAAAACCCTTTATCCTTCGTGACTAAATATAGATTTTTTATATTTAATTTAGAAGACGATATGTTTGAAAACATTTTGGTAACTCAATAATATATGATAGCAATTGCTGCTTCTGTTTGAAATACTCTATCAATAAACATGAAATCGCCTTCTAGGGTACAGCGCGTAAAAAAACCCCAGAAATTGCTACGCATGCATTAACATATTTTACATGTATTGAAGAACACTTCATATATTGTACCCCCTTAATTAGGTTCCTTTTAAGTGCAAGCTACGGTCAACTGATGGTTGCCCTTAGCAACTGGTCAAATTTTGTGATTTTTATGAACACTTCACATTTCTTTTTTTATACGAAAGTTGTAAATTGATTTTGAATGAAATTTATAATACACTTATGTATACGAAAGTTGTATACTGATTTTGAATGAAATTTATAATACACTTATGTATATGTCTGAGCATTTCCATTGAAAGAAATTAAGCTACGAAACGGTTTATCATCGTTTTGGCAACCGTTTACGCTCAAATTTTTTGAGATAAAATCGTTATAAGATAGAATGAACCAAAACCTTTCGTTTTGACCCGGGGTTTTCGATTCGATTTTCAGCCGTTTTAAAGTTATGACGCAAGAGCGATTTTAAACCCTAAATTGCGAAAGTCAATAAAAACGTTAGAACTTTTTACCAATTG